AATCCATTCGTCGTGTAGCACCTCCTATCATACCCAAATTAAATGATGACTATGGCCTTAGTGGGCGCGAGTCAGAAGCAGACAGCAATTCAGACGATGCAGTTGTTGTTCGTCGAAAAAAGGTTACAGAAAGAACAACGACCAATGACGAGACCTCAGTCACAACTGTCAAACCTGTCATCCCCGCTAAACGCAAAGCAGAATCGGCTAGTAAGCCTAGTCGTGCAAAGAAAGTCAAACGAGCTACACCCGATCCGCTTGGTTCCCTTGCAGTTTCTGTGGCAGAAACAAACTGTTCGGAAAATTCGTCAATTGGATCGGTCACATCGGTCAAGATATCAATCAATCCTGATGTTCCAGAAGCTCAAGTTACGTCAGAGGATGTTTCGCCCACCACAGATTTAAAACCACAGCTCACAACACAATGCATGGAAAGTTCACAGGTTTCTCAAAAACACGATGACCCTGTAGTCAGAAAAAACCGAATAAAAGCGCAGTATGTTTCAGTGGCAACTCCTTTCCGATTTCCACCCAGTCGGTCTTCCAAACCAAACTTGTTCGCTAACAATCCTTTTGGATTCGGGTCCAGGGAAAAATCAACAACACCAAAACGCGTTCGAACTACCGATTCCAGTCCGAAAAAAGGAAAGTCAGATACTGAAGTGCGGTCACCCAACTCACCGCGTAAAACAGCGATGGTTAATGATGCGTCCGGGGTGAAGAAACAGCCTTCAGACAATAATCCGGTACGCTCGAGAACACGAGGGCGCTCCACTCAATTGACAGCGCTTAACTCGAATTCTGAATCTTGCGCATCAACAACTAAGTGTTCCGTTTTATCAAATTCTTGTCCACCTCTCGATTCTCTCGAAAACACGGCACCGCTTAATGTTGACGAAGCCCCCGGTAGTGACGCAAATGTGTGTGCTACAGAAATAGTCAAATGCGATCCTACAGGTGACAGTTCCGCAGGATCAGTCCCGTGTTCGCAAGCTAAGACTATACCTCCCATCAACCAGGTGTCCCAGGCCACTGACCATGCTTCTACACAACTACCGAATTTGACTGATGGTACCAACGGTCGAAGCAAGTCTATGGATTATGAAAAGCCGAAAAATCGTTGGATTCGAGAAGCTCGAGCTCGTAGATCTCAGGAAGAACGTGGACTTGGGTTGATGGTTAACAACCCTAACACCACCGCCCTCTCACTTCCCGCGTCTTCCGCTACTGAAATCCTAGGATCATCGTCCACCGGTATGTCATCGCCGACACTTTCTCGGCTTCGTGTGAGATCCGGTGACGGCAGTCTCACCAGTCCATCCGTTTCAGCTAACGTCTCGCCCAAAACCCCGTCCAGCGCAAAGAAGAAGGGCGGCGGCAATTTAACTGCTGTTCCGGAGGGTGGTGTCGCATCACCTGATGACGAAATGGCAAAATCTATCGTCAGTTCATCTGCATGTTCACCTCGAGGAGCACCTCTGAGTTCCGATAACTCAAATGCAAGTCTCCCTGTACTTAAAATTAAAATCAATCGGCAACGTCAACCCTCCTGTTCCTCGTCTACCAGTGCGCAATACGAAGTGGTTGAATTGCAGGTTCCAGACCTGGAAGGACTACCTGCTGCTAAATCTCACGTACAAGACCCAATAGGGTCTACCGCATCCAGTGCCGCCACTGATGTCAGTTCGGAAAATATTGAATCAAAAGTCAGTACATTCTGTAATGGTGGTCCCCCTCTCACTGGGGGCGCTTCACCCACGTTTTCTACCAGTTCCTCCCGAAAGTGCTTCGGTTCCACCGAAGCTCCTGGCTTGGGGCGCTTGGTTAAGCGATGCCAGTTACCCGATGGTGTTGTGTTTCGCGTTGGTGATCTCGTATGGAGTAAACTTTCAGGTTGGCCTTATTGGCCTGCGCAGATAACCAGCATTCATCAGTCTGTTGACGGTGGTGAGCAAGAATTAGGCTCCGATATATGCGCACAACAAGCAGATACGAAGTCCATGTCCTTTACTGCCTGCTTGCATTGGTTCGCTTGGCATCAGGTGTCTTACATGGCATGCGATAAGTTGTATCACTTCATGCAGCATTACAAACGATTTGATAATAAGAAAAAGCGTGGTGTGTTTCGTCAAGCGGTAAATGAAGCACGTCAAGCTGCCGACAATAAACAGGATACAACTTCCAGTCTTAGTGATTCGGAATCCAGTGAAGATGGTGATACTGCTCGTATTGTTTCCAACGACCCAATTGTTGGTATTCATTTGTCACCTTGCGCACCTAATCCTACAAGTGACCTGAGCGGTTTTGCACAGGAAGAAAGGGCCGATGTTTCCGTTCCATCGAATGTTGACCATGTCCCTGAACAAAAAACAATACCAGCAACAGTTGCCGACCTCAGTCAAGTAGTTGTTTCTTCAGTTCAGACTTCCGCTACCCCTGTAAAGCGAAATCTATCCTCCGGTCCAGGACGACGCGGCGGATCACGTGGTCGATCTCGCAGCCTTAGAGGTAGACGCGGCGGTCTGGCCGGTTCATGTGATCGTGCTCACTCAAGTACACGCAGTATGCCCTCATTTCTTTCCCCGTCAGAGAATAATGTGAAAACACCATATGATCAGTTTGATGAAATGGACGCTATCCAAGCCCCGTTGCCTTTTCGTCGTAAAAATGCACGCGGTCGCGGTACATATACCAAAACGACAGGCAATAATCCCTCAGTGTTCGGCTTATCCGGTAAGGACGTTACTTTGGGTGTTGCACCAGCACCACCCACATCGACAGGTTCCTTGAAGATTAAGTTATCCACAGCTCATTTACGACTGCCTGTCGTCAAGAAACGTCAATCCACGAAACCAAAAGTTTCTAAGAAGCGAGTAAAAGCGAAGCCGGAGGACGGAAGTATAGTTCCTATGGTAGAATCTGCCATAAGTGACTCGGCAGTGGTCGCTGGTGCTCTAAACAAGTCATCCATTCCACCGAATTCAGATAACTCTGGTCCGAATCCCGGTGACTTGTCTGCAACATTCGTTCCTAACTATGACGATCCCTCTGAAGCAATCCTATCGCAGTTCCCACATGTTTTTCCTGATCTCCGCCCCGGGATCCTTTCTGATGCTGTCGAAATCCCCACCTTTTCTGAGGATGAATCTGAAGAAGAGAACACTGGGCGCCTTATTATTGACCCCGAGGTAATGGCTGCAGTCAATGTTTCCAACGCCTTACCTACCGTAGCCAATCAGTCTGTAGTGTCTCGTGGCAAATCGAATAACGTTATGCTCGATGAAACCCTATACAATACATCCTATTTTCACTCTATACAGCAATCAGCTACATCGGCACGGCCGGAATTAGATCCGTTATACGCAAGTGGTGTTTCCAATCTTATTGATCCCCACGGGTCTCGGCCACCTGAAACTGTGTTCGGCGACAAGCCTTCTCTCCCGTCTTCCGTTACAGCACCCGCTCATCCTGCACCTGTG